CGATGGCTTGTATTATATTTATGTAGTCCAGGAAAACTAATGAAGGCCCAATCAGACATATAGCTTCTCCTTTCTTCTGAAAAGTTTATCTGATTGTTCGGTCCAGCAAGCTAATGAGACCTTCCATTATGGTATAATAGTGTTATGTTCTATTTTTTACTATTCGTAAACATCGTATTGAAATAATAAAGGAATCTGTGGGATGTGTTTATTATTTTTAGTTTTTGCCGATTTTATTTAGTATTTTGATATTTTTGGGTTTTTTTTTCACTATCGAATCGGCTTCAGGGTTTTCCAATAATTGGTATTTATTTTGTCATTAATTTAATATTATTCTTAACTTTAATTAGTATTAGATTGACCTTTTCAATTTTTTTACAGTTTATATTAAATAAAATTTATATTATTATATTAAAATTTTTGGAATTCTAATTTAATAGTATCTCTCAACCAACCACCCCATAGTTTTAAACAAACATACTATATTTCAGTGCCTTTCTTTTAATATAAGTGTTAAGCAAATTCTACAGACTCTACCATTTCCAGAATAGCTATTGGAAATTGTTATTTAACTGAAAAAAGAAACATAAGTGATTAATTAAATTGTATACTTTTAGTAGTGCAGCTGCTCATTTCATTTCATTTGTTTGGTATTTGTTTGCTTACTACAAGTATATAGATTTTGCTTTATTGCTTTTGCCAATTGAATTTGTGTGTTTTTGCCCGAACTGTGTTTATACAAATTCAGCAAGATAATTTAATCAAACGAAATCTAAATAGAAGTATTAAAGTAATTACAAATCATTTTTAAAATGCCAATGGGACGTTGTTTACTAAAACTCATTTTGTTTTTATATATATTTGTTTATTTTGTGTGCAACACAAATGTATTCGTTTATTATACATTTAGCCTGTGGAGGTTCAAGAATGCTGTCAACGCCTTGAAATTTACAATTTACATGTACTTTGCGGTTTTAATATATTTCCCACTTTTTGTGCAAGTCACATAAGCTGCAATCAATGTTTAAAAAATCCGAACTTCTAATTCTAAAAGTGTAATAAATGTACAACACTTAATTAATTTTCTCTTATTTAATAATTGGTATTACATTTCAAGTTATGTTGTCAGTTTTTAAAAAAAACTTTTGCGTGTCCAATTTTTTTTTAACTGCTGATCCAGCAACGTATTGTATTTGGATTCCGATCGTATAAATCCTTCAAATGCGGCTGCAAGTGCGGGATTGAATGTCAACATAAATAAACAGCAAGCTTCTGAAAAGGCTATAAATGGGAATTATAAAAAAATATTCGAACTACTTGCGTCGAGCTATATACTATATACCCTGTACTGGGTTTCGTAATTAATTAAATTTATGAATAATATTTTTGTTTAATTGGAATGAAAAACTAATTTATCAAAACAGAAGAGCTTAAAACGCAAACTTACTCTTAATTCCCTCTCCAATCGCAGCTACAGATGGACAACTGACTGTCAGGCCCCCGGTTTATAAATTAATTAATTTTTAATAAATAAGAAATATATGAAATATATAAATGCATTTTTAAACCTTTTAAATCACTTAAAAAGCTAGTGTATAACAAAAACGCAACTCTTCATGACTTACTCTCTGTCTCCGCAAAAACAATAAATGGAGATCAGCGCAGCAACAAAGCTTAAGCGGCTCTCGCTCGCTCAAAAGTCCTCTCTTGCTCTCCAAACACAGCCACAGGTGGGCGGCCAGCTGCCTGTCAGCCTGTTCGCTTTTAGTTTGCATTTTCGCGCTGTCAAGTCGTGTGCGTGCGGTTGAGTCGGGTCTGTATCAGTTTTCTTTTAATGTGTAAAATAAATAAAAAGCCAATTTGAAACTATTTAAATCGAACTGAAAATATATGAAATGTATCTGTATAAATTAATAATTTTAAAAAAGTGTTGAGATCAGTTCTAAGGTTAAATTAATAAATAACGTTTGTGTAAATAATAAAAGAAATATTTAATTTGTTTAACAAAGCTCAACATAAATTAAGGCCTCTTCTCATAATATTTGGTAAGTTTTTAAACGAAAGTTCAAGCTTTTTTCAAACGCTTTTAACATTCTTGTGAATATCAAATGATAATTTGAGGCTAAATTTCTATGTAAGGTACTCTCTTAAATGGGCTAGATTCATTTGTTCATTTATCATTCACTCATTATTTGATTTGATTCATTTCATTTATTTATTTAATACATTCATTTACTATAATTTTAAAAAGTGAAGCAGTACGTATTTAAAATACTTATTTATAATGTATAAACAAATTATACAAGTATTGCTCTTTTAGTTTAGTCTCAAACAAACGTTAGTTTTGCTCTTGCTCTCCACTTCTTTCTCACTGTCTCTTCTCTGCAGAGCGAATTGTTTCCTAGTCTAGACACAAACCCACCACAATGCGCACAACTCAACTAATCGCTGTAATCGGCTGCGGCTAAATGACAGTTTTGGGTGCATTGCACGGATGCGGGTGGGGCTGGGGCTGGGGCTGAGTCTGTAGGTTTGTGAGGGGATTGGGGCTGCCACTGTCATAAATTTAATTCGACACCTACATACACATACACACGCGGCCATGTGTGCGTGTGTTCGCACCTCGAGTGTATTCATTATTCACACATATTTTGCTAATTAGCAAAATATTGTAAATGTTTGGATTTATGCACACAGAGGCACACATCCACAAAAACACCCACACACATGCAGCCCCACACATTTCGCCAAGCACTGCAATCATTGAACGCACTGAGTCTCTCATCAACGCACCGCAGGATCAGGTCGAGCACAAGGACGAGCGCAGGATGCAGTGCAAGCAGTGCATGAAGTTGTGCCACACTGGTTTTTGGTCAGCTCACACTTATACAGGCAGGACAATGCAGACAGGGCGCGTCATTCAAGTAGAAACACCTGCCGTAAATAAATAAATGCATAAAAAAGGGGTAAAATATTACAATATCTGCAAACGGTTTTATAGTGCTTAAAAGAAGAATGTTCACTATAATTATGTCTTACACTATCTGTGATTTTTGCCTTTATTTCTATAATATACAGATATATATATACAAATCATTTAAAATTGAAGCTATAGCTGTTATTGTTGTTCAGCAACGTAATGTAAGCAATGTAAGCTTCATTCGGCAAACTCAAAAGGTTTGCAAGGAAAGCGACAAAGAAAGATGAAAAATGCATTTTTGTTGGCTTTACAATTCTATAATTTCAATACTATAATGGTGGGAATCAGATAAATAATCGCTTTGATGCAGAAGACATAGAGAAAACAAATAAGTACCCCATTTTAAAAACAAAAACCTTACATTTAAAATAAGTCTTGTTCCTTGTTTAATTGCTTCTTCTTTGCGAAAATTCAACCAAATGGCCAATTAATTATCATACTTATCAATGAATGCCTACATTCAACTTATATTGTTTATTCGAAGCAGACAAAGTGCTTACCTAAAGTTCATAGTGATATTATTCTCAAAATAAATGCACGAACTAGGTTGGAAATATTAAGGGTTGGCTGCAAACCTAGAAAAAAGAAAGCAAGTAACCTGTAGGAAGTTTTGACTTGAAACTTTGGACAACTTCAACAGCCTTCTGCCACATGCCTTCTTTATGGCATGAAAATAAACCAAATTAAATACATAAAATATTTCTATCCATAATTACGTTAATGACTTGCTGGCGGAGCTAGTCTTTATTTATTTCTCCATTGAAATGTAAGGGACAAATAAAAGGATTTTTTCCTGAGGTTAAGTGCAAGACTTGTATTCGCAGACGTTTTATTTACTTCAGCGAAAATCATAGAATTGAATGTAATATTGAATGTGTTGCGCTCTCGCCAATGCTATCTTAGTTTTGATTCAAAGAAAGATAATAGATTGTGGTGCTTTCCACTGCCTTAGTAGATAACTTAGTAGAAGAAAGTTGGAAGAAGGGAATAATGCGCGATCAATAGCAATAACATTGAGAGCCTTGATAAAGAGTATTGGAAATGGTGCGCTAGATATTGGATATTGAATTAAGCGCTGATTTCTATAACATATGTATATATTTTCCGCAAAAGTAGTAGGCAAACATGTATTTACAAACTACTATAGTTTGATTTCTAAAGACAGAATTTAAGAAGTGTTGCATTTTTTTGAATAGTCGTATATTTGTACTTACTTCATAGGAACTAACGATTCCCAAAACGTGCCTGATTTCTCATTTCAATCACTTCAACATCGGCTTTATGTTTGCTGCATTAATCTACTAATTTGAAAGTGCTAAATAGTTAAATGGTGCTTTTCTGTAGTGGTACTTATTTTTGTAAACATTTTATTCATTTGGAGTCCTATTTAAATAATTCAATATAGTGGTCTAATGTTGTTTGGACTATTATAAAGGTATATTTTTATCTATCTCAATAGATCCACACCTTAATTTATCCAATTTTAATTTTTTAAACAGCTCTAGCTGCTCTCTACTTGCTCTCGGATTGAAAAAAAACTGAAACCAATACTCAAAAGTTAGTCTTAAATCAAACGATGCGCCTACATGGGCAGCCATGAAATGTTTTGTCTGCTGACTTATTTAGGTGGCTGCTATTGTTCGCGTGTGTGTGTATGTGTGTGTGTGTGAATGTGCGTGAGTGTGTGTGCCCATGTGTGTGTCATTTGTGTGATTTAATGTCCGTGGTGTCGGCTTGCATGCCTGCCAGCATTCAACAGCCAACAACCCACGTCGAATGTCCAATGGTCCAAAGTCCTGACTGGCAGCTGGTGGTGGAGGTGGTGCGGCGGTGCGGCGGTGCGGGGGTGGCGGCTGCTGCTTTTGTGGTGTCTATAAATTTTGGTTTGGCTTTCAATCGACCGCCAAACGAGTCAATTTAATTGAATTTTGTGCTGATGTCGCACTTGATGGCGCATCTAATGTCGGGAGGGGAGTGGACCGCGCATTTAAACATTTACACAAAAAATACTCATTCTACCTTCTGGCGGAATAGAAATGTTTGTTTATTCTACGATTTGTTTACAGTTTTATTTTGCGGCGACGTCGCGACTGAGTGCTGGAAATCAAACGCCCGGCAATCGCTCCAATCGCTCCACTCGCAGCCAAACCCCATCGATGGGCATCAGTATAATCTCAGTTTTCGCAATTGCCAGCTCAGCGGGCCGTTCCCCCGACCCTGGCAGTCGGAACTGGAATTGCCGCAGCAAGCCAATCAGCCCCAGCTTCACCTGCATGAGTCCGAACCGGGAACCAATGCAGTTCCGCGGTCCCACCCCGAACCCCAGAAAGGCCAGCGGATGGCGTTGCTGCCATGCCTGCGCCTCAAAGCGTTCCGGTCGGAATTCCTGCGGCTCGGCATATATCTCCGGATCGTAGTGTATGGCCCTGACGGGTATATGCACGACAGTCCCGCGATCCAAGGTTATGTGGCTATCCCCACCGGGCAGGGTGTACTCCTCAGTGGCGATGCGGGTGAGGGACGCAAGAGCGGGATATTTGCGAAGCGTTTCTGTGGAAGGAAGGCAATTAAAAAAAGTTAAAGTGAAACGCATTTATTTTTGGAAATGCATTTTATTTTTAAGAAATGGATTCTGAGAGCTATTGAGTACATACTCGTATGTCCTGAGGGAACAAATCTAACTGCCCATCTTAATTCTTTTGATAAACCTACTCTTTTGTTTTCTGAAACAATAGCTGAACCTGTTGAGAAGTCTAACGCTCTGCAGCTACAAAGGGTGATTTACAGGGTGTCCATGTTGAATAGATAGCTATAGTTGATTGGTACGGTCTACGGTACGGACATCGCATAAGCCAAGTGGATATAGAAGAATCTTGTTTCTGGTGTGTGGAATCAGTTGCTTGATCTGACTATCCCTGACAAATTATGCACTTTTCTCAACGCATTGCATCGCATTGCATCTCTATCCAACCAAAGGCGAATAAGTGCTGAACAAGGATAATGATCTGAGCTTTAAATTCGATATTAATCATTCTTCATGTGTATTTGTAGCTCTAAGCACAGACTCAATTAATATGTATTCTTCAGTACTAAAAAGAATCTGAGTCAGCCTAGAAGTCGCTACACTGTCATAGATCACAGACCAGGCGTTCTGGTCAGAGCCTTGGTTGGAGCTTTACAGGACTTATGTTCCCAGGTCAAATTATTCATGCACAACTTTGCTTAGAATCGGCGACTCGCCAATGAGTTTCCCAGAATCCGACCCGCACTAAAATATTGTTGCCCATGAAGTTAAAACATCTTCAGCTTGAACGACTAATTATGCACTCTCACTTAATATATCCGAGTATTTTCTAATTAAACATATTTCTAATGAACAATTTCCGCAGAAAGTGCAGAATTGAATCATGGGTATTGGAATCGATAAGATTGAGCCTCCATTCGAGCCATCATTATAAACATCAATCAGCTTTTCAAATATCTTTCCTTTTTTCCAAGTCTAATTATGTCTTCCGATTGGCCGGACATGTGTAGAATGCAAAGTTTTGATTCAATCTGGCCAATTGACAGGCATTATGTTGCCATATACAGCATTGGCAGTATTCCCATAATAAAGTTACCTCTAATCTCAGCAATTACGCAAAAATAGATGAATGCAAATGAAAATACAGAAGAATCTTCCGATCTAACGCCAATTTGAGGGAATATATTCCATCAAATCACAAGAAAATAGGTCCTAATGATGTACTTAAGACTGATGTTTTGTACTGTAATAATCATTATCGTATAATTATTACTTAACTTTTTATTTTCTATGAGTTACTAAGGTTTTGTTTAAAATAGTTAGCTTCCCATAATTTTCAGCTCACTTCAGCTTTTTTGATACAGAAATCTTCCAAGAAATTCGTTTACAAAAAACACACTTCGTATAACCCTTTCTCTTAACCCAGCTCTTATATAAAGCAGTATTTAAATCACTCTATATTCGATTCTAAGCTAGCTCGGGCAATATAAATTGCCACTCAAAACAAAGCAAAACAAATGTTTGCTTATTGTTCAGTCGAGTTTTGGGAGACTTATCAACTTCAAACTAATATAAACACGTAGCTGCTTTATTTTTGTGTGGGCTAGAGGGTCCACATTATCTCCCTCGCATTATATCCCTCCCTACCTCGCCATATCTCCCTCGCATTATCTTTCTCGCTTTTAAAACAATGCCCGCTTATCAGAGGTCGACGTCATGGGACCTGCTTGACCTTATCTCTCAGTCTCAATCTTAATTGTTAATCTTGCTAGCCCGAGGTGTACTCACCATATACGACCTGGTCCAGATAAGTCATATCCAACATCGCCTCATAGGTGAGCGCTTCGTGCTTGGACAGCACTCTTAGGATTTCGGAACGTAACTTTTGCTGGACTCGGGGCTGCTTGGCCAGCTCGTAGAGTGCGAAGCTCATATTGCTGGAGCTGGTCTCGAAGCCGGCCACGAAGAACACAAACACCTGTGCGGCCAACTGCTCCACAGACAGGCCTTTGCCCCCCTCCTGGGGGTTCTTCAAGTCCAGCAGCAGATCTATGAAGTCGTTACGTCTGCCGTCCTGTCCCGCCCGACTCTCCCGACTCGCCACAGTTTCGCGCACAACACGCATTATGAAGTCGGTGTGGGATTTGGGAATCAGACGCAGGCCCAGGCGTTTGAAGAACTCGCCATAGGTGAGCTTGAAGAGCTGCCAGCGTACGCTGGCGTGACGATCGGCCTGGAAGAGTTGTCTGCCCACCACTCGGAACTCTGCCCGCGGGTTCTGCAGACTGTGGCAGTCGAGCCCGAAGGCACACTTGCCTATGACGTCGGTCGTATAGCGGCCAAGCAGATCGTGCAGCTCCAGCACCGCCCCCTCCTTGTCCAACTGCTTCTGCAAGGTCAGCTCCAGCTGCTTGGCCACATCGACCACACTTCCAAACATGTGCTTCAGCTTTCCACTGCTGAAGGCCGGCGTCAGCTTCATCCTCAGCTGCCGCCACTGCTCGCCCTGCAGGTTGAACAGATGAGCGGAGAGCGGATCCTCCTTGTGGTTGTTGTAGGCACGTCGGTCGACGAACTTGTTGAAGTCCTTGATCAGTATGTGCTTGGCCAGCTCCAGATCGGTAACCACCGCAATAGGGCGGGTGTAGACATAGCTGCCCGCCACGCCGACCTTCCCCTTGAAGGCATCGTACGTCTCCTGCAGCAGCTCGCTCAGATGCAAGGACTTCAGCTTGAAAACGTTGCCGTACAGGAAGTGCGTCCGCCGCTGCCGCACGCCCAGCATCGTCCAGTAATTGTAGGTGTACCGCAAATAGCCGAGCAAGAAGCTCAGCAGCGAGGCTGCGAAAAACAACGCGACGCTCATCCCGGCAGCGATAAATGATGACTGAGCCGAGCGGCAATACTGAGCAGAAGTGGCAGTCTTATCTGCGGATGATAAGTTCAACAAGTTGACAAAGCCCTTATCTCGTCCGAGAGCAAGTCCCCCCGGCTCTTTTCCCGTCTATTTGGCTATCTATGCCTTCATCTGGTGTGTTCAGAGCAATATCCACTCTCAAGTATAGCAGAACCTCCACAATGAACCGACCTCGTCCAAAACATCACATCTAAGAGATAAGCATAGACAAATCAAACCATCTCTCAGACATTTTCTCCGTCTATCTTTGCCTTTATATTAATACCTGCAGACTATATGTTGTATTCAGCATTATACTCTATACTTGAAATGTACAAGATTCGGTTTTAGTCCAATTAGTGAAAACAGAAAATCTGTATTTTGGAATTTCTCTCCCTCCCCCCTCTCTCCAGCAATCACTAGTTTTCCATAAAATTCGGATTATTCAAGTTTCATAGGCCGATTTAACAGGACGATTTAGCCATATATGTTATCTTAGGCCAAGAACCACCCGCAGATGTTGTTGTTGCTGATTTGCACAGTCACACGAGACACATACAGATACACAGAAACACAGAAACACGCATAGACACGCATAGACACGCATAGACACGCATAATTATTTTACATAACATGTACAGGGTATTTCAAAGTCGGGAAAGCTGAAACGAATTTTTAATTTAAAAACTTGTTTAACTATTTAAATTTCCAATCAACTGAAAATTAATCAAACGTATTTAATGAATTTTTCCAAACTGATGTGTTTTTAAACTTAAAAGTAATCTCGATTTGGCAAGCTCGGAAGGGACTTTCATTTCATTATTTTTATAATTTTTGAAGTTAATAACATTTTTCCGCATAAAAAACTTAACATTTTCAGCTATGTTACTGTTATGCTGTGTTACAGCTTTGTTAAATATTCGAAATGTTATTGTTAAATATTATTAGCTGTTAATAGTTAGCTGCAGGAAAAAAGCTCTTGTTTGTTATTAATAGTATATTAATATAATATCCTTGTCGTATCAATGTTGTGTGAAATTATTATTATTATTATTAATTAATTCGATGTGACTTGTGAAATTTTCTGTTGTGATGTAAAATCGACGTTACATTAATGCCTACGATGCCCTGACTGGCAGGATAAGTAGAAAAGTTTATTTTCCAATAACAAAATTCAATTTTATATCTGTACCCCTTTAAATTGAGAAAAGAAGGATCATCTTTATATTTATAATTTCAGCGCATTATAGTATTATTTATATTTTGAATTTGAAGCTTAACATTTTCCGTTATATTCTGCTAAGTATTACAATGTTAAGTTTAGAAATGTTAAAATTCGATGTGACTTGTAATATCATTAGTTAGTTCGATTAAAAATAACCAAATTTGAATTTATAGCAAGAATTATATTTATTTATTCAATGATTTATTCACATGCACGATTAACTGGCAAATAATTTTTTATATTTTTATTTTCATTTCGGCGTTCCAGCTAACATTTCCAGCTATGTTATGTAACATTGTACAGCTAATATTAAGTTCTGTTATGTTAAATGTTCGAAAAAGCTTACCTGCGCAGCTTTTTGGGTTTGTGTCTTGGCTCTGTGAATGAGCGTTATGGAAATGAAGGCAGCGAACAATGCTTGCATATTTTTGCAATTATTTAAATGAATCAGAAATTAATTTCAGCAAAAGTTTGTAAAGTTTGAAAATGGTGGAAAGTAATAATACAAATAAAAAGTTACGGACATCAAATCACAATTATCAAACAAAACGCAACATTAGCTTCAAAGTTTCCATTAAGCTGCAGGGAAAACAAAATGAGGTGCAAAGGACGAATAGTGAGAGAGGGAGGGGACAGAAGGAGAGGGCGTTGCATGTCCAAGTGAGGCGAGCAAAAAGCATAGCATATCAAAGAGGGCAGGCAAAGGCAGTGTCACACACGCACACACACACAACTCAAAGCCAAACAGCATGCTCATCATCTATCCTCCTTCTACTGAGCGCAAAGTTTTTGCTCCTTTGGCCCGTTCGGGCCCCTTTCGACCGCATCGGCTCGCCCATTTAAGACTCTCCTGAAATTGACGGAAACGAAAATGAAATTAAAATATGTGTGTACATCAAATATTTATGTTTAAAAACTGTTGCGGTTGCATTTTAATAAAATTTGCTACCCACGAATGCCCCTGCGCGTGTATGAAAGTAATATTTGATTACACTGCAAATTGACGTTATCAATTACATGATTACATAATAAAATTTGTCATACTGCATAAAATATTGATGGCCGGTGGTAAAAAATGCAGCCGACTGGCGCGCAAATAATGCGATTTAAAAATTCAAACAATGCAATTTATTGTTCAATCGTCTAGAAAATAATCGAGTGCCAGCTCCACCTGTAGAATTGACTTATTTGAAAATATTCCTTGAATTCCCAACAATGTTGGCTGAAGAAGTACTTCTTCCTAAACAGCACCCACATTTCAAGGACACTCTTTATGTGAGCTGAACTCAAAGTATCTTGATTTCACAATAGCTTTTGAAATCCTCTTTCAGCTTACAGTTAAGCAATTAGTTGTCAGTTTATCGAACATTTTGAACTCAAAGTATCTTCATTTCACAATGGCTTTTTAAATTTTCCCACAGCTTACAGCCAAGCAACTACTTGTCTTCTGTAGCACTCACTGTTTACCTAAATGTTTTTGTGAGGCTGAGCTCCAAATTTCTTGCAATTGTGCAAGCAAGTGCTTTCAATGATACAATAGCTTTATATATCAGTGCCTCTAGTACTTACTAGACGTAATCGAATACTGCCAAATAAAACTGAAATTAAGAAAAGGTTTTGCTATTCAAACAAACATATTTTGGGTTTTCTCAAACTTTTACTCGTATCTCCAATCTCAAACTCAGCAAACATACTGCATTTATAAAACTTTTCCAGCAAAAACTAAGCTTTTTTGTTGATTTCCTACTTTATACTCTGTACTACTTGTAGTTACTGTAAATGTATGTTAACTAACTGCAAAAAAAAAACACATATAATCGGCGTTGTTATAACGTTCGATGTATTATTCGAGATATATTTTTGGTTTTAATTCATGATCATAAAGTGGGTCGTCAAGTACTCAAATTGCTTTTTAGGTTAATCGCTTAACGTTCCTAAAATTGCTCAAATATTGGGCACGATTAATTGCATATGTATCGACAGCACTATTTGTTGATTTACTAAATAAATAAATAAAATAAATAAATAAAAATAAACGCATCTATAAGAAGTTTTCAAAGTCTGTCGTAGAATCGAAGGAATGCATCCTAACGGAGTTCACATGCGGCAAACGAAGGATATACACAAATATTCAGGTGACGCGAGATGAAGTTCTTCCATACCCGGTTCTAGGGGGCAGATGTCACGATAAAGATCTGCTTAACATGAAGCGACCTATATCGGAGGTAGCAACGATAGATCAGGTCCGGTGTGATAATGGCGCATTAAGCATTTTTAATATTTAGATTATTTAGATTGGATTTGTTGCTTGTTCAGCCCACTGCTAGTGTTCTTGTTGGCTTCTGCTGGCATCGCTTGTATAAATATACTTCTATGCCAAAGATATGCGGCATCCTGTCCTCATGTGATTTTCGATCATCATTTATTTTAAAATTTCTAGCAAAATGTCTCTTTCTGGCTGCAATACTCGGCGTGCCTTAATTAAATTACATAATAGTATTATTTAATCAATTCTTTACTTTTCTTTCTATTGTGGATCACAAATCTGCTTATTGAGAACAAAGAATCTTATGCTTAGAATCATTTTATTTCATTAGTAGTGATTAGGTATTACTCGTATTTTACTGTAATTTGTATTTTCCAATATCTCTATCATCAAATTTCTATAGTAATAATATCAATGGCGACTCTGTTGTCGCTGATTCCGCCTTCCAGTGTGGAAAATATGCCGACTTAGCCCTTCGAATGACTATGGTGTACGAGTATCTCTGCAGCATTCCGATTTAATATTTAAATTTGCATTAAATAGGTGCGCGACAAAAGGACGAATAACGAATATCCCGCCAAACGATTTCGGTGATTCTTTTTTTATTGGATAGGATGTACTTGAAGGGTACTTTGATGCGAGTTTGGTCGTTCTGCAAACTGTTTCCCGTTTCAATTTGGTCCTGTTCTGACAATGGGATCCATGAGAAAACTACCTTAAACATACCTCATTTAGTCCAAATAGCTGAAAATTCAATCCTGGACAGGATGCTGTTACTTCAGACTCATGCTCGAAACATTAAATGACAAAAAAAGCATTTACTGCACTAGATTTGAAGTGCGTTTTCTTTTGTTAAAATATTAGTTGTTATTGCTAGCAGGTTCTTATGTAAAAACAAATTGGAAATGGCTGAAAAGATTACCGCGTTCTCAAATCAAGGTATGAAGAAAGTGAATACCGACCAGATGGAAAAGGTTTAACTGATTCAGATTTATATTTGAATTTGGAGTGTGTGCGTGTTAGGGATGAATGGACGTGAAGAAGCAAATCATTTACGAAATAATTTAACATATACTTGCTTATTTCATTAAAGGAAGAAAATGGAAATAAACAGGGAGATGAACGACATAAAAATTAAAGCTATTTACTGTTTTCATTTTTGAATGAATTTAAATTTAAAAAGAAATAGTTGAGCAACAGTTACGAGTAGTATTTACTAGAAAAGAAGAATTTGTTAGCAGATTCTTGTTTTCGATTATGGGACAAAAGACCGATTGCGTCGTCGAGCCTCATTCTAAATCCGAATCGGTTCTCAGCCGTCTCCTGTCCTGCCCCTCATATCGCAGCTCGTTGCATGAAGGCAACAAATTACTCCACAAAAGGTATTGATAGAAATAATTGTATATTTGTAATTGCTTTTGTTGTGCTGCGAATAATGATGCCCTCAATGACTTTCTGCATATACAATGCAGCGAATGG